TTGATGACTCCCCTTATTGCGATAATGTTATCTATCACCTCATGAATACGTGCAGCCATTGTATTATATCGACAGCAGGAATTTTTTATAAAACTGAAGCAACAACAAGAAACAGCTTGATTAAAGTGTACTTACTAATAATAATAATAATCTCTGAATCCATCGACGCGTTTCGCAATGAAGATGATTCACCGTTTTCCCCCGATTTCGCGAATGATCTGGACGGATTCCTGCGAATGGCAGGAGCTTCCTCCCGTATAAACATCGATTCAAACAGGTTGATTTGCTTTACAAAGTAATTCAATCTTGAATTTTCGTTTTGCTTTGCTTGACGTCAATGTTATTGTTCTTTAGAATTACCTGTTTAATTCGCAACAAAGTCAATTGAATTTTCAGCTTATTTTTAAACCTTATTTATGTATATTTTTGAGGTAGAACTTGGCAATGATGCACGTGTCTATAGCAACTTAGTAATTGTATAATGTTCTTGGCAATATTAAAGCGTATATTATTGGTAGATTGATCTTAGCAACCGTATCAACTTCGTATCTATAATATCTGTTACCTTAGCAACTTTATTATGCTTGATTATTGTTGTCTTTTGTATCTATATTTAGTGTCCTTGGTAACTTAAACTTGTCTAGCAACCATATTTAGAATTGTTAGAAACACTGCAATGTCATTAGCAACGTTTCCAACTGACTTATAAATTATTCACAATGACTTTTAAGTAAATGATATTGCGGTTGTTATTATTAGTTTATATATTAGATAATATATTAATATTTATTTTCTTTTCAGACGCACAAGATCGTTAAATGCACCCTCGCCATTCCAGCAGTTCGGTCCCTGCGGCAGGATTATGAAGAATTCCGCTATGGTTATGTAAGTTGTTCCCACGTTTATTAAACTAAAGTCTAAACTTTTGGTAGCACATTAATTAATTAGATTTTAGTTTAAATATTTTGCTAATTATTATTTAATTGAAAAATTAATTTTTAAGCTACCCTAAGTTTTTACATTACACGTAACACATATTTATGTAGTGCAAATAATTGTTGATCTGTAGACTCGTTTCGGCAACACAAATACTTGCAAGTAGATTGAACATGAAGTTTTGAAGATTATTTTTAACTAAGTTTCCTAATCCAGAAACTTACGAACGAGAAAAAATTGTATAATTGTACAAAATTGTAGAATTGGATAAATCATAGTGAGAGAATGTATTTAATTTGTATAGAATGGATTAATTGAAGTGTGTGAAGCGATTAATCTTCGTAATCTGTATTCGCAGTGTATTGTTTTTAATTTGCTACTGAGAACAAATGAATTTATAGCTCCTTATTTATCCAGTTAGGATGGGAACATATTGTTGATTGTTTTGATCGTCTCATGAAATGACTCAATGAAGTTTTATCTCTGAAAATCTACAATGACGATGATGATGATAATAGCGAAATTTCCTACAAAGGAATTATACCAAATAAGATTTGTTTTTGTTTATCAAATGTCTGCATATCGCACTGGAAACAGCAATATATTTAAATTTCGTTATGCAATAGTTTGTAAGCATTGTTTGTTTTCGATACATTTAAGAGTTACTTTTAAGCAACGAAATACATTCACAACGTTTCGAAATTATATGAAAGCAGATGTACAAAAACAATATTATTTCCTGCTCTTACTGATAATTGCATAATATTGAAAGTTTAGTAAATAAACTGAAAATTGAAAACAAGTAATTATTAATAAGTTATTAGTTTCTATTACAATCACTAAATAAGTTATGTAATTTCACTGGTTTTCTTTGTGCGGCGGAGAAAGAAAATTTGCTATTTCACAAACCGCAAAAAAAATTCTGTTACATTTATTTTCCTTCCGCTTCCACTATAAATGGTTTAATTGGAATGGATTTTCCATAATGAAATTGGATTTTCCATAAATGAAATGAAAAATTATATAATTGCAATAGTAATTTGTTCTATCACAATTGTTGTGGTAATTGTAATATTGTTGATTTGTTCTTTTTATTGTTTTTTTTTTTAATTAATCATCTTTTACATCTTTATTATTATTAAACATTTCTTTAAGAAAAGTCATTTGTTTAAACACTAACTTCATATTGATATAGAAATGGTAACGTTTCTTTTATAACACTTGATTGTTTCTTGTTGTGTTTTGGGACTTTGAACTTGGGACAAAAATATAAATGTTACATATTTTGTTTTGTCATTTTTCGTCAATTTTTACCCAATTTTTCGTTTACACAAGTAATGCATGTTAATTTTTATAAGGACTTAATTGAAAGAAGCATTAATTTATGAAAATCTATAAGTTTCAGTTGATAACTTGCGAATTACTTACTTTTTGCTCATTTTTATCATTGCCTTTTTAGGCGTTTTATTTTTATTGTTGTTGGTCGTTTATTCGCGTGTTTAATTATAATAATTGGAACATTCGTTAATGGCCTGTTGAGTCGCGGGGTCAGATGCGCGCGGTCTGTATATACGGCGGGGATTACGAGTCGGAATGGTAGAGAGACGACATCGGCGGGTTCAGTTAGTAGTTTTGTCGGTCAATCCTTGAACGGTTGACTCAAATTTTGTTGTTACTCCTTTACAAGTACTCGACAACAATATCCTCTTGTCGAATCTTCAAAGTGCAACTTGAAGAATTCTCTCTTTCGAGAAAAAAAAAGCAAATATATAAATTGAATTGTGTGAAACAGAGAATTCATCCGCATTTACGTTTCTGGTAAACAAAACTTATTATTTTAGTTAGAGAAGTCTGCGAAATGTCTGCACGGGCTTCGCTTAGTAAATACGATTAGCAATCGGGCAGGAATTCGACGCAGGCAACGAACAAATATGTAAACACTCAATTACCACTGATTGATACTCTTTCAAATAGTCCATTCCCTTAGCGCGCGCCACCCCCCTCGAAGACAATCCAATAATAAAAGTTCTTTGAACCTAGTTGCAAAAAAAAATCGATTCAATTATATACACGTAATTTTATTTCCTTACTTTTATACAAATATCTAAATTCGGTTTATTAATAGTGTTAATTTGCTTTCGTTTAATTACAATTAAATGATGCTCCGATCGACGTAATTGTGTGCGTTTATCGATGAATTATTGAATTGAAAACGCAAATATACGTATTTTAAACGATCTTTGATCGCAGAGTAATATTTGTTCTTGACGTTTAACACGTTTTCATTGAATGAAAAGCAATGATTTATTTTTCAAAAATAATTTGTTTTCTGTTTAATTGATCACGCGTTGATCGTAATTAGCAAATAGTACGTGATTTTTTTAATATTTTTTCATTTGATGATTAATAAAAAAAACAATGGTTTTCACATTTCCTGAAAATACAATTTAATTAATTAATTAGTACGTGACTTTTTTTAAATTCTCAATTGATCAATTAAAAAAAAAATATGTTTTTCCATTACGTTTCCAAGTTTATATAAATTATTACTAAAAATATTTTAATTTGAAATTTCAAAATAAAACAATTATTAGGTTGATTGCTTTTGATGTTTTTTTTTTTGTAAAAATTAATTATACTTTACTTAAGTTTTTCATAAAAAAACAATTAGATGAGCAAAATTGTTAACAATCATTGTGAATGTTAAAGTGTTGTTTTTTTTTACCGACTAAAAATCTGCTGGTAATCATCATACCTACACGTTTTATCTCTACAAATGTTGGATGTGTAGCGAGAGATGAAAAAAAAACTGTTTGTACTAGTTGAAATGGGATTTAATTGCGGCCATCGCGTAAATCTTATCACGTTTTACGTGATATCAGTGATATTTTCTGTACAACTATCATCAAATATCCCATTTTTACAAAAAAAAAACACACAACTTGCACGACTATTGTCACATTAGCATAGACTTAAAAGAGTGTCCATAATCAAGCTGGTTAATTCTTAATACGGATTTTCATTGTTTGCACACATTTTTTCTCTCTCTTTTATTTCTCAAATAATTACAATACAATGCCTCCCGATTACAGACAGTTTTTAATTAATTTACAAAAAAAAAACTTTCCACGATCATTTAGTTTTCATGCACGTAGAATTTACTAAACATTTCTTAAAAAAAAATCAGATGAATTAATTTTGTTGTATTGAATTGTATTAAAAATAGGAATCATACGTGCTTTAAACTGATTTTTATATAATCGACTTACAGATTCTGCATTTGACATTTGTTATCTGTCATTATATTATTTAACCTATTTATTTTTAATCAATTCAAAGAAATCTGTCATTATAATCGGGCAGAGTGTTTGACATTTGTTATCTGTCATTAATTATAATGACAGTGTTTGACAGGTTATGCTGTAATCTGTAAAGCAGTTGTTTCTGCATTTGACATTTGTTATTATATTATTTAATCTATTTATTTCTAATCAATCAACTCAAAGAAAACTGTCATTTTAATCAGACAGAGTGTTTGACACTTCTGAAGTTTATGCTGCAATCTGTAAGTCAATTGATTCTGTATTTGACATTTGTTATCTGTCATTAATTATAATCGGACAGTGTTTGACAGTTTAGGCTGTAATCTGTAAATCAATTGATTCTATATTTGACATTTGTTATCTGTCATTAATTATGATCGGACAGTGTTTGACACTTCTGAAGTTTATGCTGCAATCTGTAAGTCAGTTGATTATGTATTTGACATTTGTTATCTGTCATTAATTATAGACTGACAGTGTTTGACATTTCTGAAGATTATGCTGCAATCTGTAAGTCAATTGATTCTGTATTTGACATTTGTTATCTGTCGTTAATTATAATCGGACAGTGTTTGACAGTTTAGGCTGTAATCTGTGAGGAAGTTGTTTCTGTATTTGACATTTGACATTTGTTATTATATTATTTAATCTATTTATTAATCAATTCAAGTTTATGCATTTCTTAAATTAGCTACTTTCATATTTGACAACTATTATCTGTCATCATTAAGTGTTAGTTATCTAACGTCGACATGAAAAGGATATTTATTTTATGTCAAAAAAAAAAGAACGCCCTTGGCGCGAATGTAAATCATACTATTATTACACTATTTGTTTATTGTTGGAGAATCTGTAAACGAGCGGAATTTGAAAATAGTTCTATTTGAGTTTGCGTTTTTGAGCATATTACAATTGTCTCGTGACAAAAAGGATGTAGAAATAAGAATTAAATTAAAAATAACGTTTGTTTATTAACCTTGTTTTTCCAATCCGAATATGAACGTGTCGCAACAATCGTCGACGATTACATAACGGACGTTTAATTGCGACGTTAAATTGTATTAATATTTAACGTATCGTTAATAGATGCAAAACAAGTGATTTTTTTTTGTTGCAATGATAATTCTTAGATAGTTTTCTGATGCGAAATGTAAACACATTAATTTACATTTAATTCCATATCTACTGTTTGTTGCTGCGTTTCCTGCGAATGACTGGCGATAATTATTGGTTTCCGTTTTGATATTTTTTCCAATTATATTTTGAGAAACATTCTATTTTGTCTCCTTGTAAATTACATGCAATTTGCGTTTGTTCGATCGTACTTGTTTGTTGTTCTAATCATAGTTTATGTGCTTTTTTATGGCGTAAATCCGTCAGTGTTCTAGGGGATATTCAGAAATATGTACTCTTTTACGATTAGTGTTGTATCTTAACTAAATAATTTTATTTGAAAGGTGAATCGCGTTGCAAAAGAGAGGAAAACGTATTTCATTGTTGCAGCTTTAGGCGCGGAAACAATACCCAAGTTACTTGCAGAGTAATGCGTAGCTGTTTAATACATGACAAATTCTTGTGATTATGATAAAATTAACTTATTTTTTTAATCTCATGTTTTGTTTGAGTTGTGTCACAAGTACTTATACACGTTGTCAATTGGATTCAGCGATTTTTATGTTGTTGTTACAGCTTCAGGCGCGGAAACAATACCCAAGTTACTTGCAAAGTAATGCGTAGCTGTTTAATACTTGACAAATTCTTGTGATTATGATGAAATTAACTTATTTTTTAATCTCATGTTTTGTTTGAGTTGTGTCACAAGTACTTATGCACGTTGTCAATTGGATTCAGCGATTTCTGTTGTTGTTACAACTTCAGGCGCGGAAACAATACCCAAGTTACTTGCAATGTAATGCGTAGGTGTTTAATACATGACAAATTCTTGTGATTATGATGAAATTAACTTATTTTTTAATCTAATGTTTTGTTTGAAGTGTGTCACAAGTACTTATGCATGTTGTCAATTGGATTCAGCGATTTTTATGTTGTTGTTTGAATGTATTCAAAAAGATTCTATTAGCAATGGGTAATAAATATTCCACGATGTGAATTAATAATTGTTTCCAATAATGTTAGGATAAAAATAACATACGCACGTGTATATAAATGCATAGATTATTTATTGTTACTATTCAATTAAAAGTTTTGCCACTCGGATCGGATACACGTGCAACTACAACAATTATCAATTGTTGGAATTGTTCTGGAAATATGTGTGATAAATATGAATTAAAAAATGATCAATTAAGTTTTCGCTTTGCAGATTTGCAGATGGTCATCGTTGCATTGGGAATATCAGAATGTGAGGCTTTATCAGTTTGCCTACGTTCGGATAGATTTATTTTTGTTTTCTCGTGAGTGATTTGATTTGATTTTTCGAACTTGAAATTATTACTAAAGAATATGGTTGCCAACGGAGAGTCGATTGGGCCGGACAGCATTCTGTACGCAGGTCGCTACGACCATAACCAAAACGAGGTGAAACTGCTAAACGAGTCGCCGAAACACAAGTATTATTTGTACGTACATAGACAGAAATTTAATGTTGCTGTTTTTATATTTGTGGGAATTTGGAATTTAATTTGGTTGCTTCTGCGTCGTTTCAGGACCATCCAGGATCCAGCTAGTCAACGCCTAACATGGTACAAACCTCCCCTGACCGTTCTCGTGATAAAGAAGGTCAGAGATGCTTCCGTGCTCTCGCCCTTCGTCCAGCTCGTCAAATGGTTGATGCAAGTAAGTTTAATTCACGTTTACTGTTAGCGGTAACAGTAATAGTTAATTAATTGACCATTTCATTGTTTTTCTTAAAAAAGATTTTAGAAAAATACTTTTTTTTTACTAAATTATTAGTAGCGAATGAAATGGTAATCAGTTTTAATAATTATTTTGATATGCGTATAGATAATAATAATTCATATTTAATGCTAATATAAGTAGCGATGAAGGTGTTTTTCCTTACGAAACCATCTAGATGAATTTATCATTCGGTCAACAGTCGCAGATGACCTATATCGATGAAGCAAATGGAAAATGCGCATGGAAAATCGTGTGCCCTCCGACCTGCCGACCAAATGAATGCAGTGTGTATTATACACACATCGAGCAACTGTTTCGCTCGCTCGAGTCGCCATTGTTTTATTATTATTACTACTACTATCACCATTATTATCGTGGACGGGTTTGACCTCGTGCGGTGGTCGGAGGAAAAATTAATGGGAAAAACGACCAAATGACGGTGTTTTCGACACGCGAGGTCTCTCCATTAACCGATGGATGGATGGATGGAAAAATAAATAAATGAAAAAAATAAAAGCAAAGAAAGAATGTTGTAAACGAAGCAGAAGGTGTTTTTTTTGCTATATCCTTTTTCTTCTCTTCTCCGGTGCCCTTGGCATCGTAAGAAAGCACACTTTGCGCTAGCAAATAGAAAATAGTTGTTGTTGCTGCACCATTACCAGTATTATCATAATAATAGTAATAGCAAAGACTGCGGAGAAACGGATTGCAAATAACGTGCATCATTATTGGAATCTCGCGTTGGCTTTTGTCGGGAAATTGTCGCATTTTTTTTTGTATTACCTAAGCAACAGATTTTGTTATTGTTTGTTAATCTGACATTCAGTTGGTGGCAATTATTACGTGCATATTTCGCGTTACTTGGCAACTTGTACAAGTATTTGAATTAATACAAGATCAACGTGTTGCGGGAATTGTGAAGTTATGATACAAATATACCGTAAGTGTGTCATTATTGAGAAGGATATGATTTTAAAGTAATTTATCTTAACTATACTAATTACTATTTTTCTTTTGAAAGAAACGCTATAATTTTGACGATGAAGAAACTTTTGATTACGAAAACTCGGGCAACTTACAACATTCACAAATGAGACTATCATTATCAGTTAATGGAGATTTGGTTGCATAGTTATTGTCACGTATTTGTTTTTTTTTTACTAAATTAATTATTGGTAATTTTTGTGTGTTTCAGGAAAAGCGAATGGTTGTGTTCGTGGAGGCGGCGGTGATGGAAGAGACGCATTTGGATCAGTATCCTGAATTTTCTTCGATCAAGGACAAGCTGATGACGTTCAGGGACGGCAAAGATGATCTCACTGACAAGATAGACTTCATCATCTGCTTGGGAGGTGATGGCACATTGCTGTACGCGAGCCACCTCTTCCAGCAGTCGGTGCCGCCGGTGATGGCGTTCCACCTTGGCTCACTGGGTTTCCTCACGCCCTTTCAGTTCAACAATTTCCAGGAGCAGGTGAACAACGTGCTCGAGGGTAACGCGGCGCTCACGCTGAGGAGCCGACTTCGGTGCATCGTGATGAAGAACAAGGAGACGCAGAACAGCGCCAACAAGAAGGCCCCTACGAATCTGCTGGTGCTGAACGAGGTGGTGGTCGATAGGGGACCATCCCCGTACCTCTCCAACATCGATCTGTTCCTCGACGGCAAACACATCACGTCTGTGCAAGGGGATGGATTGATCGTGAGCACTCCTACCGGCAGCACTGCGTACGCGGTGGCGGCGGGCGCCTCCATGATCCACCCCAGCGTACCTGCAATCATGGTCACACCCATCTGTCCTCATTCACTTAGCTTTAGACCCATCGTCGTTCCGGCCGGCGTCGAACTCAAGGTAATTCGATCAAAACAAATCGTCTTGAATCCTCCTTTCATTTGAATCGAATCCTTCAGATTAAGAAATCCCCATGTTTTTTTTTTCTTTTGAAGATTTCAGTATCGCCGGATAGTAGGAACACCTCATGGGTGTCTTTCGACGGTAGAAACCGGCAGGAATTATTACACGGCGACAGGTAAAATGCACTTCAATAGGAATCGTTGCGTTTTCCGCCACCGCCACCGTCATGCATATGTTTTATTATTCCGTTGTTACACACTTCATGTTCGCACGAGTAAGCTTCAATCTTCTTGTATATTGCAGATAGCCCCAAGCCCGACGGCGCGTTCCTCCTCTTACGTTTGCTTCGACGGTAGAAACCAGCTTGAATTAAAGCCGGGCGATAGGTAAAACATAAAAATCAAAGTTGCTTTCGCGAATCGGTGGTTTGGTGGCTGTGGTCGATGATAACGCAATGATCTCTAGAATAAAACACGTCAATTCTGAACATATTTTGTAATAATCAGTTTTGCATTTTCAGCTTGAGGGTGACCACCTCCATTTACCCCGTGCCCAGTATTTGCGCGCAGGACCAGATCACCGACTGGTTCGACTCCTTGGCTGAATGCCTGCATTGGAACGTGAGGAAGCGACAGAAGCACCTGGAGGAGCTCACCGACCTCACGCATTCCAGCTCCAACGACACGTTGGACTCGCTGGAAACGCCCGAAGAGAAGGAATCCTAGTGTTTTCTTCGACATCACACCAATCCCACTCTTTCCCCTCGGGCGCCCGCAAAACCAAAATGTGCCGAAATATAAAAATTTGAAACAAAATAATAATAATAATATATAACTTTGTGATATTTTTCAAAATAAGAAAGAAGGATACCTTGTTTATATTTTTTTTTCCTAAGATGTATTGTTTTTTTTTTGTTTGTTTTATTTATCTTCTTCTTTGATTAGCAATTATAAATAGTCTCAGGTCTGGGTAGGTTCACAAGATGTTTTCTGTTTTATTTAAAAAAAAAATTATATACATATTCATATTATACGTTTTGAAATTCCTGTTCAATTTAATTACTTTAATTTTGTTGTAAACCCTTCTTTTTCGTATCGTTATGAAACCATTAAGTTTTTTTTTT